CTATATAAACATCAGCAATTAAAAAAATAAACCCAGATAATGAACATTAAGTAAGAAATTACACAATTACTGGGCACCTTGAAATAACATATTAAAATATAAGTTATTATCTTCTCAGTTTTTTAAGCTATAGAATTGTGCTGTGGAGGTGGTTAGCTGCCATCAAGTCAAATGTACTCGTGCTCTGCGTTCTCCAAATACATTAAACACCTTGGGTCTCTAAATGTATCGCAATGTTCTTTTAGAGTCACTTTTGCATTTCTTTTTTAACCTTAACTGCTATATTAAATGGATAATTGAACCGCTTGATTAAAGAATTTTAATTCTAAACTATTACAGATTAGCTGGTGGATACCAGATAACGACTCTATAATATCTGTACATAAAATAAGTAAAGGAGCCCCCAAGGATGAAATTTCGATCCACATTTTTTACCTTTACATTTCAAATTTGCAAGTACATAATCATTTCATTGGTGCCAAGCATTTTCTTAAAAATTATCATAACAAAGATAGATTTCTTTTAAAATCCAACAAATTTAGAACATTTGGGCCTTATTATATGATTAAGTCTTAAAGAAAAGTCTACAGAATTTCCATTTGCATATCAATATTAATATTTATAGTATATCACAAAAGAGGAAAAGATTATATCTTGCTCTTATACTTTCTTCATATGTATCCAAAATCATCTAAAATTTATCAAACAAATGAAACTCTCTAGAGTTCTATTTTAAATAGTTAAAACAATGTTTGATGTTATTTGGGGGGAAAAATTAAGTTTTTTAAGGTTCAAAAGTACCTCATCACCCATCTGTGGCACAAAGGGACATCTTCGGGGAATAGTGTCTGTAATCCACGTTGAAGGCAACCATTCTTCCAATGTCAAACCATTTTCAGACAATTCTCCCACAGCCAATCTCTAATAAAGTTTAGAACATTGTAAAGTAATATTACTACAAACTGGACATTAGAAGCAGTCTCAAAGGCAGGTCTAAGTGAACTATTTCTGAAAATGTAATAACTTTAAAAAAGCTACAGAACTATTCTATTCTATAGCAGCTAACACCATAACCCTTGCTCTCCCTTAAAAAAAAAAGAACAAAAGAAAACCGGACCCATCAAGTTCAGTAGTTCACAGTGATCCTGGATAAGATTTTTGACTCTGAATTCTATACAGGAGCAGACAGCCTCATCTTTTTCCTCTGGATGTAAACCACACAGCCTGAAGTTAGCAGCCCAACACTTTGCACACAGCACCACCAGAGATATATTTTATAAACTGTAAGCACTCAATATTTATTCTTCTGATTTCTAGAGTTCCTAATGGAAGAGAATATATTTAAATTACCATTTAGCTGTATATTTCTTCTCTGGGGTATTCCTTTTGTAGGTAAGTATTTTCAACTATCTCCTTACTATTTCATTTGTTAGTCAGCTATACAGAAAATATTTTCATTTTTGTAAACCAGAAATATCAATGATCCCTAAATTCTTTAACTTCTAAATATGTTTCATCAAAGGGTCAGTAAAAAATGAGGAAAACTC